AATTTTTAGTCCTACTCGTTTAATGCCATAACAATTTTAGTCCCAAGGCCAGCCTTCTTTTGTTCATGTGATTTAATATATATTTTGCTGCTAAATATGAAATCAGAGAATTGAAATTGCAACAGAACTTTAAATTACATGATTGAAATTGCTAATAAAAAATTTATAAATTTGGGAATTTGTTGCACTTTTATGAAAATGACTGAATTTGTAGTAAAATATTATATTAGGACTAAAAAACGAAATGTTAGAATCTTGAGACTAAAATTGCTATGACGTGAAATTTAACCTCAATTTTTATTGCATAAATTTTATTTTGATCGTTTTATTTAATGAAATTAGCCCGATTTTTGGACCGCCACGGAGAATGCTATAAGGAGAGCATACCGAATTACGGATAGCACGATACTCGAGAAGGCAAATGATCTCGGGAAGGGAGGCTCGACAGCTGTCACGGCCATATTAATCAATTGCCACAAGCTCGTGGTTGCGAATGTCGGTGACTCTCGTGCGGTGATATGCCGAAATGGTGTGGCTAAGCAGCTTTCGATCGATCACGAGCCCGAAATGGAAAGGGAGACCATCGAGAACAAAGGTGGATTCGTGACTAGGTTCCCGGGTAGGAATTTTTCTTTAGGGTTATTTTTATGGTTTTACTAAGTTATATTAAAGGAGATTATGTTATCACTTATCAGTATTTTTTTTAATGTTTTAAGTATGTTTTAAAAAAAAAAGGTGACGTGTCACGCGTGGACGGACAGCTGGCGGTAGCAAGAGCATTTGGCGACAAGAGTTTGAAGGAGCATCTGAGTTCGGAACCTCATGTTGCAGTCGATGTTATAGATGATGATACTGAATTTATGATCTTGGCTAGTGACGGCATTTGGAAGGTTGGTTTTAGTTATATGTTTAGTTTCGAGTTGGAAAAATAATTTGCTCGATGTAACTTTTGAATTTTGTGCAAGAAAAACTATAAATATGTTTGATGTAATATTATCAGGTTATGACGAACCAAGAGGCGGTTGACTGCATAAAAAACATCAAAGATGCAAGAAAAGCAGCGAAACGGCTTAATGATGAGGCACTCGCGAGGCACAGCAAGGATGATATTTCGTGTATTATAGTGAGGTTCGGGTAGATAAACTAATTAGGGGTAACTTTCTTGGTTGAATTTTAGTTCTTTTGGAAACTGTGTTTGTGTAACCCTTTTGCTTTTTCTCAATATCTGTTGGGATCTTGTTTGTTTTATCAAGCCTTTTATTTATGTGTAGCACATTTGGTTTTTCTTGGTAAAAAGGAAATTTGGCACAAAATATAAAAAGCTCCATAGCAAGAAACAGAGGGTTGCAAGATAAAATTTGTAATGATCCTTACATAGAATGAAACAAACAGACAGTTGCAAGATTGTAATAATCCTTAATTAAAAATGCCACCCACATTGGGACATGAAGCTCAACACTTGGTGGAATGTTGATTGTCTGCATAGATGAAAAACTGGAGCCATTTATAAGCTGAAAAGGTTGTCCTAGAGGGGTTTTTTCATGACAGAAGGGAGTAAGCAATGCTAGCAGATCATTCTCTGAGTCTCCAGATTTTCAGTACTGGGACTGGCTTTCCTCGAACCTTTGGGCCGGGCCGGCTTTCTGGGCCTTGAGCGGTCTCTTCCTGCGTCGTAGGTTGGAGCCCGCTCCACCGTCGGCCAAAAACCCATCCGTAAACTCCACGTCGTCCTCCATTTCAGTAGACGAGGTCTTTGTTTCCACGTCAAAGACCTGCAACAACATCAAGCGCGTCTTCTCTGGTCCAATGAGGTTCAGCAACTTGGCTGTGACTTCCTCCATTGTCGGAGTACCCATTGACGAGCACGCTAAGCACTTCTCGGCAAGTTTTCCAACTTGCATCAGCCGTTCAACCTCACCACATGCCTCAAAATGACTGTCCAAGATCCTAACCAATACGTCCCCTCTAACCGACTCCACAAAATGCTGGACCGAATTACATATTCTTTCCCCGTCAATAGCTCCGCCAGCACCACTCCAAAACTGTAGACGTCGTCACTCTCTTCTGTGTGTACCTCAGGCCACACAAAATCGCACAATTTCACCTCGTAGTCGCGAAGCAGTAAAATCGCAGAGCTACTAACCCTCCCGTGGATAACTGGTGACGGAAACGACGGAGACACATGATGCAAGTCCGCAAGCACCCTGGCCATTTTCGAGGCTATCCTCAAACGGACACTCCACGAAAGAACGCGCGCAAGGTCATCGTCACGGATGTGGTCTTTGAGGGTCTTGGCCGTGGTGGTGTTACCTTCGTAGACGACCATCGGGTGATTCGTCTCCAAACAGCAGCCGATGAGGTTTAGCAAAAAGCGACTGTGTATTCGAGAGAGGGCGACAATTTTGGCAATGAAAGCCTCGGCTTCCCCCATCGCCCAATTTTTGAATCTCTATTGTTACCGGACCGCTTTCTAGTGTTCCTTTGTAAGTCTCATTTGCACCGGCTTCCTTGTAGAGCTTGTTGTTGCAGTCGTAATTGTTCGTGGCTGTCTGGATGTCTTGCGCCGTGAAGACAGAGACCGTTTTGTGAACCTGCTGCATGTTTTTCAGGATGTCGCCGCCGTTTCTGATGAACAGATCTCGTTTCAATCTGGCGGATTTGTTTTCCTTGCTACGTCTGAATATCCACAAACTAGCCACAATAGCAGGGATTATGAAGCGTGGATGGGAGAAACAGAACTTAGCAAAGTCCTACTTTTTTTTTTTCGCTCAAATTAGAGTTCCATACGTAGGATGAAAAGGAGAGGATTGTGCACGAGAATGTACAATGGTGTCATGCACAACAGTCCCGCTTTGCAAAAACTATGACTAGTTTAAGTGTATAAATGTGTCGACAAAGTATTATTAGTATATGATATTTGATTTCACATGCATAGCTTCATCAACCTACTCCATTTGAAAGGAATTTACCTAAAGCAATGTAGATGATGAACAGGGGAGTACTGCCATTGGTAATGCTAATGGCATCATTAAGATAAGGATAGCAACAGGTACCATCATTTTTCCCGTCTCCTTCAAATCCCTCCGGACGTGAACACGAGTAGCTTCCCTCCAAAT